AGCCATACTGCTCGTTCTGTGCGTGATTTACTGTAAAACAAGAATGTCAGTGTTCTGCCATGGCCAGCGAAGAGCCCGGATCTCAATCCCATTGAGCACATCTGGGACCTGTTGGATCGGAGGGTGAGGGCTAGGGCCATTCCCCACAGAAATGTCCGGGAACTTGCAGGTGCCTTGGTGGAAGAGTGCGGTAACATCTCACAGCAAGAACAGGCAAATCTGGTGCAGTCCATGAGGAGGAGATGCACTGCAGTACTTAATGCAGCTGGTGGCCACACCAGATACTGACTGTTACTTTTGATTTTGACCCCCCCTTTGTTCAGGGACACATTATTCAATTTCTGTCAGTCACATGTCTGTGGAACTTGTTCAGTTTATGTCTCAGTTGTTGAATCTTGTTATGTTCATACAAATATTTACACGTTAAGTTTGCTGAAAATAAACGCAGTTGACAGTGAGAGGAAGTTTCTTTTTTTGCTGAGTTTATATATATATTTATATTTATATATTTTTTTATATATTTTATATGTGTGTATATATATATATATATATATATATATATATATATATATATAAATATACACACATTAAAATACAAAAACACAGTCATGGGAAGCACAAAAGAACATCACTAATCACCCAAAAAAACAGTTACATTCCTCCACAAATAAGTCCCCAATCAATACTTTAAATTGCCCGAACGGCTTTAAAACTAAAAGCAGATTTACCTAGGAACCTCAAGAGTTAACCAATCCTGTGAACGGGTTAGGCAACTCAGGTGTCTATACTTCAACAGCAAAGTTAGATAAGACGGAGGTTTATGAAGTAGCGCCTTATAAACACAAAGGAGTAATGTAGAGATCTAGCTAACCTTTTGATACAGTGGTGAGTATCAAAACTGTAATCTGTAACAAAACAAAGGGCATTATGGTAGACGGCATCTAAACGTTTAAGAGTAGCAGCAGCTGCACTTTGTTCAATAATATCACCATAATCAAGAACAAGATAAAAAGGTTGACTGAATAATCTGCTTCCTACTGCTTAGAGAAAGGCACCACCTGTTTCTGTAGAAAATAGCGAACATTAAATCTTAGCTTCTTAACCAGCTCATCTATATGTTTTTTTTAAACATCAAATCCATATAAATCAGAATACCTTAGTATGCATATGCGGGAACACGTTCGATTGGAGAACAATCTAATGAGCGAACATTTAGTTCATCTAAAACATTCTTACGAGAGTTTAAAAACAGCATGCATTTCATTTTGCCCGCATTAAGCAGACGTTTTAAATCAGCAAGAGATTCCTAAATAGCTATAAAATCTGACTGTAGTTTTGTCACAGCCAGATCAACAGTCGGGGCAATAGCATACATAATAGTATCATCTCTACGGGATCGGTGTCCCATATTTGGGACGGTTGAGCTAATGTGTGCTCATGTGTGATTAGCATGACTGTTGTAAGTAACAGCAAACTTTCCAGGACATAGACATGTCTTATATGGGCAGAAAGCTTAAATTCTTGTTAATCTAACTGCACTGTCCAATTTACAGTAGCTATTACAGTGAAAAAATACCATGCTATTGTTTGAGGAGAGTGCACAACAACAGAAAAACTTATCACGGCAACTGGTTTGATACATTCACCTCTGAAGGTAAGTAATGTACTTACATTCAGTAATCTTGCTCTGATTTGTCATCCTAAGGGTCCCAGAGATAAAATGTAGCATAGTTTTGTTTGATAAAATCCATCTAGATGTGTGAAAGTTATTGTATAAGCTAATGATCCATCATGTATGACATTCCTGGGAGTGTGTAAACTTACATTTTGTATTACCGTATCATGTTTGTATGTTCTCTATAGTTATGTACTTGAAAATGTGTCAATTGACCAATTCGGCACATTTGGGCAGACTTGATACAAAATAGTCCAGTATTGCAATGCTTCACTGGATCAATCTGAAACTTTGCACACACACTGCTGCCATCTAGTGGCCAACATTTTAATTGCGACTAAACTGCAATATTATATTGTGGTCTCTTGCATTTCAATGATGGAACAAAAAAATTAATAGAAAACGCATGTTTTTTTGTTTGTTTTATCTTTTATCAGATCTAATGTGTTACATTCTCCTACATTAATTTCAAATTTACACAAACTTCAAAGTGTTTCCTTTCGAATGGTATCAAGAATATGCATATCCTTGCTTCAGGTCCCGAGCTACAGGCAGTTAGATTTGGGTATGTCATTTTAGGCGAAAATTTAAAAAAAAGGGTCCAATCCTTAAGAGTTTAAGTATTATTTTTTTTTACAGATTGACCAATGGTGTTTATATAAATAGTGAAGAGAACAGGCCCCAAAATCGACCCCTGTGGTACACCTTTATGTACTTAAAGAAATTCAGACTTAACCCTATCAATCATAATGGCCTGAGTTCTGTCACTAAGATAATCATGAACAGGTGTCAGAGCTCAGGCCTATCGAGGACAACGTATTCAATAAAATAGCATGATCAACAGTATCAAAAGCTATTGACAGGTCCACAAACAAAGCAGCACATTTCATTTTAGTGTCTAAAGCATTGACAAGATCATTAACAGCTATAGTGGTTGCTGTAATACTGCTATGCCTAAACCCTGATGGGGTTTACATTGAAAATACATTTCTCTGATAACAAAAAAGAACCAAGTTGTACATTTACCAAGGATTCAATAATCTTAGATAGACAAGGAAGCCTTGAAATGGGGGCGATGAATATCAAGATCACTACTATCACGCCCTTATGGAGTGGCAGCACAAGAGCTGATTTCCATACTTTTGGAATATTTCCTGATAACAATGTTAAATAAAAAAATGTGGGTTATTGAGACACACTTAAGCAGACCAGGATCCAATTGCAAAAGTATGGAAATCAGCTCTTGTGCTGCCACTCCATAAGGGCAGAGATGGTAGTGTTCTTAATCATTATCACCCCAAAGTGGTTATAGATCCAATTGGTCGGCTCCTGGGGATTTCTTGTTGTCTATTGCTATCAAAGCATCCAGGACTTATTTTTTTTTTCTGTAAATAGCCTTAAAGAAAAGCTTTGACTGTCATTTCTCTGATCATTCAGCAAGTTTCTCCTATCAGCATCCAGCCCAATATCATTGTGAATAGGCTTAGAAGTTATTTCAAAGAGATAGCGCGCTGAAATAAAATGGTGATTAAATGCATCAATGATGGCATTTTTTTCCATAATGAGGCCAGTGTCTGAATTCATTTGTTGTGGCAGAGAGGTGGAAGTAGAAACCTTCAGGGATTTGACAGTTTTCCAGAATTTAGCCGGGTTCCCATTGCATAATAATCAGATTTAGCCTTTCTGATTTATTTTACACAATGATTCCTCAGTTGCTTAAAAGCTTGCCAGTCCGGGCCTAAGCCTGTGTTCCTGGCCTTGACCCAAGCATCATCTCTGTTATGAATGACTTCTGATAATTCCGGAGTGTACAAGGCATTCGATCTACCTTTTAACCCTTATTTTTTTGGAAGGGAGCATGATTATCCACAATAGTATTGAAGACATATGCAAAAAGGCTCAAAACGAAATCAAGTTCAGGGATAGCTGAAATACAATCAAGGTCACTAAAATAAAGATAATGGAAAAAAGCCTCTTCATTGAAGTTTTTTAAGTTCGATTTTTGTATTCTCAAATCTCTAACACAAATAACTGGGCGATGGTCACTAATGTCTTGGGTGAAGACACCAGTAGAAGCATATTTCTCTGGTGTATTCGTTAAGATAAGATCAATCAGAGTTGACTTTGAAGGATCTTTAGGGTTGGGCCGTGTAGGCTTAGTCACCAGCTGGGTTAGGTTTAGATCATTACAAATGTCTTTTAGATTGTCTGAAGCCTGCATTTCCCAGTCAGAATTTAAGTCACCCAGGATAATAACTTCTGATTTAGTAAAAGAAGACAAACTAGTTGACTCCTCGAGTGCACAAAGGTTAGCCGAGGGAGGACGGTAGACTCATATGACAGTTATGGATACGTTCTTCCCCAGACAAAGACTTAAAGAAAAAAATGGCAAATTAGATTTTTAAAGTCACATGGAGTCTCCAACTCAAACAAGCTACTACGTTCAATAGGCGGTTGCTGTCTGATGGTTGATATTAATATAAGATTGTATAGATCTGCACCATTTGGTCTATCCTTATTAGTAAAAGAGGAACGAGTAGAAATTGTAATTACTTTTCCAAGGTTAACACCATAGGGCCTGAGCCCGCAGCCAATGTCAATATGAGGAACTCTCAGAGTAACCAATGATGGAATTTTGTAAACTGATTTACATGGGCTTTGGTTGCTATAGTGCAACAGCCCCAAGTCCTCTATGTGATTTGAAAACCGAGGCGGTATTCAAGTTTATGGAATTCACATATGAACTAAAAGCACTGGGTGAGCAGACTACGATGAAGTTCGTAATCGGTATGCAGTTATGCTTTGCTTATTGGTTGTGTGTTGTGCATTGGCACAAAAACCTGTTGGTGGAAAATCGTTGCATATATTTTATATAATTATAAATATAGCATCAAAATGTTAAATCTGATTTCCCCCTGGTTGATCATTGTCTGCAGCCGGCTCTGATCGTAGTTTAATGAGACAGGCAGGGAAGGTGAGCACGTCCGCGGTGGTCGGCGAACCCTCAACTTCTGGCCCGTTAGCTCTGCGTGGCATCGACTGTGCCACAAAACCATGCTGAAGTGGTCAAGTCTATATCCACGTTTATAAACACAGGGTTACTACAGTTGTTGTTATTTGTGTTGGTAATCATTGTTTTTGAGTTAATTTTATGAGATAGGAGGGTGTGCACATTTTTTATAGTACAAGGGGAGGGTCATGTGAAAATATAGATTACGTTGGGGAGGGGGGTGCATTTAACCCACTCGAACCCACCTCTCTCTGTTCCTCTGTTGCAGACATTGATGAGTGTGAGACAGACTCCCACCAGTGTAACCCCACCCAGGTGTGTATCAACACAGCCGGAGGATACACCTGCTCCTGTACCGAGGGCTACTGGCTGGTCGGGGGACAGTGTCAGGGTAAGAACCTGAGTGTGTGTGTGTGCGGGAAAGTTGTGCAACGAACGGTAAGTTCTGGGGGCTTCCACCCATTACAGACAATGAAATCATATTATTTCAGGGGTAGGCCAGATACTATGCTATATCGTCACTACAACCATTACTATTCACCTCATTTTCAACAGAAATATGAGTGGGTCTGTTTAGGTTTTTTTGTGGGGGACTTCCGGTTAAGCACTTCTGGCCAATAGTTTGCAGCTAGCTAACTAACTCAGTATCGCTTCTCACAACTTTCCAAACATGGATTCACGCAAAACTGGTATTTTATGTTCGGTAAGGGGATGCCACAATAACTGGCAGAAACGGAAGCTGTTCATCGAGCAGGAGTGTTTCGACCACCAAACTTTTTCGAGGAACGAGTACAGTTGTGAGGCGCCTTTCGATTTGTAGCCAGCTGCTAAGGACGAGGAGTCTCTTCGGGCTTTGGCTCAAAGCATTGAACTTGAAGTAACCACCGAACCGACCCTATGTGTGTTCCTATCACTTCATGGACAAGAGGCCGACTGAAGAGCATCCCTTTCCCTGAGAAGTGGCTGGGCTATGACGCTCCAGTACAGCACATCAGGACATCAACACATACAGGTAGCTGTTAGCTAGCTGCTACTCGCTAGCTATCGTCACAGATGGGTGTCCTGAATCAGGCAGAAGTTAGCTAGCTTAGCTAATTATGTTACCAGTTGGTAGCCACTCCTAAGTCCTAACATACTGTAGGTAGCTAACTGTTGCCTAGCTTACTCACTTAGCTGGCTAGCTTGAGGGCAGCCCATCTGATACAGTGTTGCTAGCTAACTAGCCTTGCAAAAAAATTAATAACGTAAAAGTGGTGCGTGCATATGTGTTCACCCCCTTTTCAATGAAGCCCCTAAATAATATCTGGTGCAACCAATTACCTTCAGAAGTCACATAATTAGTTAAATGAAGTCCACCTGTGTGCAATCTAAGTGTCACATGATCTGTCACATGATCTCAGTATATATACACCTGTTCTGAAAGGCCCCAGAGCCTGCAACACCACTAAGCAAGGGGCACCACCAAGCAAGCGGCACCATGAAGACCAAGGAGCTCTCCAAACAGGTCAGGGACAAAGTTGTGGAGAAGTACAGATCAGGGTTGGGTTATAAAAAAATATCAGAAACTTTGAACATCCCACTGAGCACCATTAAATTAAAGAATATGGCACCACAACAAACCTGCCAAGAGAGGGCCGCCCAACAAAACTCACGGACCAGGCAAAGAAGGCATTAATCAGAGAGGCAACAAAGAGACCAAAGATAACCCTGAAGGAGCTGCAAAGCTCCACAGCGGAGATTGGAGTATCTGTTGATCATAGGATCACTAAAGCTGGGCTTTACGGAAGAGTGGCCAGAAAAAAGACATTGCTTAATGGAAAAAATAAGCAAACACGTTTGGTGTTCGCCAAAAGCGATGTGGGAGACTCCCCAAACATATGGAAGAAGGTACTCTGGTCAGATGAGACTACATTTGAGCTTTTTGGCCATCAAGGAAAACGCTATGTCTGGCGCAAACCCAACACCTCTCATCACCCCGAGAACACCATCCACACAGTGAAGCATGGTGGTGGCAGCATCATGCTGTTGGGATGTTTTTCATTGGCAGGGACTGGGAAACTGGTCAGAATTGAAGGAATGATGGATGGTGCTAAATACAGGGAAAGTCTCGAGGGAAACCTGTTTCAGTCTTCCAGAGATTTGAGACTGGGACAGAGGTTCACCTTCCAGCAGGACAATGACCCTAAGCATACTGCTAAAGCAACACTTGAGTGGTTTAAGGGGAAACATTTAAATCTCTTGGAATGGCCTAGTCAAAGCCCAGACCTCAATCCAATTGAGAATCTGTGGTATGACTTAAAGATTGCTGTACACCAGCGGAACCGATCCAACTTGAAGGAGCTGGAGCAGTTTTGCCTTGAAGAATGGGCAAAAATCCCAGTGGCTAGATCTACCAAGCTTATAGAGACATACCCCAAGAGACTTGCAGCTGTAATTGCTGCAAAAGGTGGCTCTACAAAGTATTGATTTTGGGGGGGGTGAATAGTTATGCACGCTCAAGTTTTTGTTTGTTTCACAATAAAAAATATTTTGCATCTTCAAAGTGGTAGGCATGTTGTGTAAATCAAATGATACAAACCCCCCCAAAAATCCATTTTAATTCCAGGTTGTAAGGCAACAAAATAGGAAAAATGCCAAGGGGGGTGAATACTTTTACAAGCCACTATACATGTCAAGAGAACCAGTCAACAAGCCCACCTACCACAAATAAACCCAATGTGGTGGTGCAGAGCCATTGATCCACACCATCCTGAAGAATGACTCTAGCTCAGTGTTATATACTGGCCTTCGTCTTAGTGTTTTCTTTGACCATGTAGTGTTTCTGCAGAAATTCTACACGGCTAACTTCAAAAATGCATATCACTGATCAAATACTGATAACCTTGATGAAGCTGAAGCTGAATCTACTCCAGGGTGATCGTGCTGAACGCTTCGCTGTGTCCCAGGGAGTAGCGAGCAGAATCCTTTTGCCTACTGGATTGACACACAATGGAGGAGCACATGAGGATCTACATTCCATGGCTGCCGAGGGAGACGTTCCAGAACACAATGCCTCAGTGCTTCAAAGAGAAGTTCCCCCAACACCACTCGCATCATTGACTGCTCTGAAACCACTCTTCAGAAAGCCCACAATATCTATTCCAAAGGGAGGTCATACAGCCACTATTATTCCAGAAATACTCTCAAGTATTTGGTTTCCATTGCTCCATATGGACTTGTTATGTTTCATGCATATGGAGGCAGATGCAGTGACGAGTTCATCACCCAAAACTCTGGCTTCCTGGAATACCTTAGGCCTGGCGATGAAGTTATGGCAGACAGGGGCTTCACCCTCGGAGATCTGCTGTATGAGAGGAAGGTAATCCTTGCCATACCAGCCTTCACTCAGAAAGGAGACCAGCTGTCTGACGAGGATGTCACAAGCACGAGAAGGATAGCTAATATACGTATACATGTTGAGAGAGTTATCAGACAACTCAAGGTGTTCAAAATCCTCTCCCAGACTGTTCCCATCAACCTGACGCACAAAATGGACAAAGTCCTTAGCATCTGTGCAGCACTTGTTAACATGCAGGGTGAGATCATCCATGAGGATGCCAAGTGAGCTGTGAGAATGTTCATACAAATGAAATGTAACTTTATACACTATAATTTCATCCACATGAGATACTGTGTGTGTATATATAGTTTCCTATTTAATCAGAATCATTTTAATGTTCCTACATTAGAAATGTACTGTAACTTCGCCTGTTCCTGATAATTACAGGCATCCAATAGGTGATGCTATCATGCCTCCTTCAATCTATTTCAAATACATTTTCTTCAACACCAAACTGTCTCTAACAGACCAAGAGGGAAGCCAACTGTTTATGAAGTGTCGCACGGTTTTCTTAATTAGTGCCCTTGAAAACCAAACCCAGAATCAAACTGAAAACACATTTGAAACCCTTAGACACGCCTCCTCTTCCTTCATTTCAAAATGTTAAGTGTCGAAGAAAATGTCAACAAACTTGAATTTCAGTGTTTTTATTAACACAATAATTTGCCAAGTGCGAGATGAATTACGGCATGCTCAGATAAGTTCATGAAGTGCAATACGAAAAGAAAGAGCGATACAAGGTACAATAAAAATATTCATAAATCATAAGGAGTTATCCGTAGGCATTAGATAAACATGTATGAAAATAGCTGTACAAGACTAGATATAAAAAAATAAAAAAACACCAAGAATTATGCAAATATAATCAGGTAAATTTGCATATGAAGAGAACTGTGCAAGACAACAACAAAAAAAAAACACCAATCAAGAGTTATGCTTAGATAATAAGGTAGCGCTGACAGAGAGCTTTACAAGGCACAAAACATAGGAACTATTTAAAAACACAGAAGTATTAGGCCCCTAGATACCACAGAGATGAACATATTTGGAGCACAGAGTTAGTCTGCCTCACTAGAACTCATCTACTATCCTTGGCAGCATATGTGTGAAATAGAATGCCTTCAGTTTAGGGATGACATCAGCACAGAACTTCACATCAAAAGGCACATCAGTAACAGCCTGCTTGGGATGGAGCCCAGACAAGCAGTTTGCATCTCTCCAGTCCTGTGCAGAACATGCCCATTTGCACCTGCAGGTAGTACCCACGGTCTCCATTAGGTGGCAGCTGACGAACCCCGTCCACCAGCTTCACGTCGGTGAGTTTTGCGTAGAGAACAGTTCGGTCAGAGACTCACACTTCTTACTCAGAACAGGACATTTGATTTCTAGAAGTTCTTGAGAGTTTAACACTCCACCTGGGCTTGCAGAAAGCCACGGCTCCTTGACACTCACTACTGTGCCTCTACTCTCCAGACTAAACCCACAGTTCTCCATCCATGTGAAGGCTCCTTGACACTCACTACTGTGCCTCTACTCTCCAGACTAAACCCACAGCTCTCCATCCATGTGTAGGCCACCTGCTCCTTCTCCTTGTCATGTGTGGTTGCTGAGTTCCCCCTGGAACCTGGGGAAGAGATGCTCCCGCACAAAGTTGTCGGGATTTGTTGAGGTGCGCACAGGAACCTTCTTTGCTGAGCTAGCAGTGAGCCGAAGTTTCCGCGCGTCACACCACTCTGTGCTTTAGCGACCTCCTCCAAGCTGTCACATTTCCACTCCTCCAGCTTAACATAAACGTCATAAACATGACAAGCATTTCTGACACTGCATGTTGAGGCTGTGTTCACCGTGAGGCTGCTGTAGCTGCTGTTTGGTTTAGCTTTGATGCACTTGTGCAGACGGCTCCCCACTGGAATAATGGCCACTTCCAAACTCTTCTTAAGTGCGTTGTGGGAGTGGTACGCAGGAGTTGGAGGTAGAGATGGAGAAGCGGCTGGGGTGCTGTCAGAGAACTTCGGCACTTGGTTTGTGAATTTTGAAACGGATCTCGCCTCGTCCTTTTTGGAGCTAAATTCCGCTGCGTCCCCGAGTTCCACTGGCCTTGCTCATCTGTACAGGACACCCCTGTCAATCCTCCATACACAGCATTCTGCACCTTCAACGAAACACTACTGTTAGAATAGTCAATTACAGTACAGAACACTAGTTTACCTGGTGTTCACAGCTGACTAGTTTACACAACTAGTAGGTTTAGGTTATGTTGGTAATTTTCCTATTTGATTGTAAAACTCACCTTGATTCTGTACCTACCTCATTGCCATTCGAGATTAGACTGATATACTTCCACAATGAGCCATTGAAACCAAGAACCGTGTGTGCATGTTGTAATAGTTAACGTTATCAGTTCTGGTCAGTGATATGGTATCATCACAATTAGCTAGCTAGCTAAGCAACTAGCTAACGTCAAACGTATCAGTCATAGAAAGGGTTACGATAAACAAAAAAGCCAGCGAGCTAGCTAACTTCCATAGTATTGCAGCTGCATGACTGCAAGACTTCCCCTGCCCTGCAACACAAGAACTCCCTGCAGTCTCCATCGTGCCGACAGATGTGCTTTTGTAGCTCCTCATCTCTGACCCACAGAGAGACAAGACAAAATAATTGAAGATGTCTTCGTAGTTGATATGTGGCCCTTTTTTTTCCATATCGTCCTCCCACTATAATAATAATAATAATATGCCATTTAGCAGACACTTTTATCCAAAGCGACTTACAGTCATGTGTGCATACATTTTTAACGTATGGGTGGTCCCGGGGATCAAACCCACTACCCTGGCGTTACAAGCGCCGTGCTCTACCAATTGAGCTACAGAGGACCACTCTTGAATAATCCACGGATGTGGCACAGACTTGCCATTCTACTTTGAAAGGTTTTTCTTGGTATGATCCCACGACATTTTGAGCTAGCTAGCTAATGTTCCCAAAACGGCAAGAACGCCACAACGGAAGTCCTCCACAAAACAGAACGTTCAGACATTTGTTTTGTTTTCTGGGTTCTTAAATAAGGTGAATATGTCTAATAGTTGTTTTTTTGCTGTGTCAAACTTTGCTTCCCCCTGATTGTTCCACGTCTCTTTGTGTTTCCAGACATTGATTGTTTAACTTCCACCTCTCTGTGTCCAGATATTGATGAGTGCCGCTATGGGTACTGCCAGCAGCTGTGCGCCAACGTGCCAGGCTCCTACTCCTGCTCCTGTAACCCTGGCTTCCTCCTCAACCCTGACAGCAGGACCTGCCAAGGTGGGCACACACACACACGTACACACTGGCATCCATGCATGCACCCATATACTCACACATACACATACACACATATACTGTGAAGGGAGTAGTACACAGCGTTGTACGAGATCTTCAGTTTCTTGGCAAGAATAGACTGACGAGTTTCAGAAGAAGGTTATTTGTTTCTGGCAATTTTGAGCCTGTAATCGAACCCACAATTGCTGAGGCTCCAGATACTCAACTAGTCTCAAGAAGGCCAGTTTTATTGCTTCTTTAATCAGCACAACAGTTTTCAGCTGTGCTAACATAATTGCAAAAGGGTTTTCTAATGATAAATTAGCCTTTTAAAATTATAAACTTGGATTAGCAACCACAACGTGCCATTGGAACACAGGACTGATGGTTGCTGATAACGGGCCTCTGTACGCCTATGTAGATATTCCATTAAAAATAAGCCGTTTCCAGCTACAATAGCCATTTACAACATTAACAATGTCTACACTGTATTTCGGATCAATTTGCTGTTATTTTAATGGACAAAAAAATTGCTTTTCTATCGAAAACAAGGACATTTATAAGTGACCCCAAACTTTTGAACAGTAGTGTATTTAATTGTAATTTTTGGTCAACGATCTACACAAAATACTCTAATGTCAAAGTGGAGGAAACATTTTAACATTTGTAAAAATGAAAAAGAAAACACTAATATATCATGATTAGATGAGTATTCAACCCCCTGAGTCAATATATGCTAGAATCACCTTTAGCAGCGATAACAGCTGTGAGTCTTTCTGGGTAAGTCTCTAAGAGCTTTCCACACCTGGATTGTGTAACATTTGCCCGTTATTATTTTCATAATTCTTCAAGCTCTGTCAAATTGGTTATTGATCATTGCTAGATAACCATTTTCAGGTCTTGCCATAGATTTTCAAGCAGATTTAAGTCAAAACTGTAACTCGGCCACTCAGGAACATTCACTGTCTTCTTGGTAAGCAACTCCAGTGTAGATTTGGCCTTGTGTTTTAGGTTATTGTCCTGCTGAAAGGTGAGTTAATCTCCCAATGTCTGGTGGAAAGCAGACTGAAGCAGGTTTACCTCTAGGATTTTGCCTGTGCTTAGCTCCATTCCGTTTCTTTTTTATCCAGAAAAACTCCCCAGTCCTTAACGATTACAATCATAACATGATGCAGCCACCACTAAGCTTGAAAATATGGAGAGTGGTACTCAGTAATGTGTTGTATTGGATTTGCCCCAAACATAACACTTTGTTTTCAGGACAAAAAGTTAATTGCTTTGAAACATTTTTTTGCAGTATTACTTCAGTGCCTTGTTGAAAACAGGATGCATGTTTTGGAATATTTGTATTCTGTACTTTTCACTCTGTCATTTAGGTTTGTTGATCCATCCTCAGTTTTCTCCTATCACAGCCTTTAAACTCTGTAACTATTTTAAAGTCACCATTGGCCTCATGGTGAAATCTATCAGCAGTTTCCTTCCTCTCCGGCAACTGAGTTAGGAAGGACACCTGTATCTTTGTTGTGACTGGGTGTATTGATACAGCATCCAAAATGTAATTAATTGATTAACTTCAACATGCTCAAAGGGATATTCAATGTCTGCTTTTTAAATGTTTACCCATCTACCAATAGGTGCCCTTCTTTGCGAGGCATTGGAAAACCTCCCTGGTCTTTGTGGTTGAATTTGTGTTTGAAATTCACTGCTCGACTGAGGGACCTTACAGATAATTGTATGTGTGGGGTACAGAGATTAAGTAGTCATTCAAAAATCATGTTAAACACTATTATTGCACACAGAGTAAGTCCATGCAACTTATTATGAGACTTGTTGAGCACATTTTTACTCCTGAACTTATTTAGGCTTGACATAACAAAGGAGTTGAATACTTCTTGACTCAAGACATTCCAGCTTTTCATTTTTTATTAATTTTTTTTTTTTTTTAATGACATTATGGGGTATTGTGTGTAGGCCAGTGACAATACATCTCCATTTAATCAATTTAAAATGTAGGCTGTAACACAACAAAATGGGGAAAAAGTCAAGGGGTGTGAATACTTTCTGTTACTCTAACCTCCTGCTTCGACACCTGTAATCAAATCAAATCAAAAATCAAATCAAATTGTATTGGTCACATGCGCCGAATACAACAGGTGCAGACATTACAGTGAAATGCTTACTTACAGCCCTTAACCAACAGTGTATTTATTTTTTACAAAAAAAGTAAAAATAAAACAACAACAAAAAAAGTGTTGAGAGAAAAAAGAGCAGAAGTAAAATAAAGTGACAGTAGGGAGGCTATATATACAGGGGGGTACCGTTGCAGAGTCGATGTGCGGGGGCACATTGTGGTAATGTTGTAGTGAAGGTGTTACTCAAACCTCCTGCTTCCTCCTCTCTAGATGTGGATGAGTGCGAGGATAACCCCTGTACCCACGGCTGTTTCAACACCTACGGCTCCTACATGTGTAACTGTGAAGAGGGATTTGAGCTGGCTTCTGATGGGACCACGTGCAATGGTGATGACGCGAGATCAAATATGTTCCGTGTTACAGTAACCAAAGAGAAGGCTGTCCGTCCCAAATAGCACCCTATTCCCTATATAGTGCACTATGTTTGACCAGAGCGCAATGGTGCACTATATAGGGAATTTGGTGCCATTTGGAACGCACAAAATTGTTGAAGTGCGACAGATAAAGGAGGTCTATCCTAGTGATCCATAACGATCCAAATCATTATTTTACATCTAGCTATGGTTCAGTCATTATTTGTGCACCTCCTTTACACTTTGAACTGTAATTCTTGGGCAATACTGTAATGACAGTGATGACTATTATGTGATGTACTGTGGTGTTATGTGATAACTACTAATGCTGAGTATCACCTGTAGATTTGGACGAGTGTGGTTTCTCTGAGTTTCTGTGTCAGCACAACTGCGTAAACACACCTGGCTCCTTCCAGTGTCACTGCCCAGGGGGATACTACATTTATGAGGATGGGAGGAGCTGTGAAGGTAATAATAATCTGTCGGCATGACAGGAGACTGACTTACTGGGTGAATCTCAAGATACTTTTCCTTGCTTCCTCTCTCCTCGCTTCTTACTCAAAATGTCAGAGGAAACTGAGGATCTTCTCTCCAATTCTGTCCTCGTTTACCTCTGGCATTTTTAAGAAGGACGTGAGGAGAATACTTTTTAGATTCACCCTGGGACTAACTTTACCATAACCTTTCTAGATAGGACTAGATAGATGTAAACCTACAGGAGGGTATCTCTCCAGGAACAGGGTTGGAGAGCCCTGGACTAGATAGATGTAAACCTACAGGAGGGTATCTCTCCAGGAACAGGGTTGGAGAGCCCTGGACTAGATAGATGTAAACCTACAGGAGGGTATCTCTCCAGGAACAGGGTTGAAGAGCCCTGGACTAGATAGATGTAAACCTACAGGAGGGTATCTCTCCAGGAACAGGGTTGGAGAGCCCTTTTATTATAGTATACCAAAGCTAATTGCTTGTTTGTTTGTGTAATAATAATATGTGTAAATTGTTATAATGGATGATGTTGCCGATGTTGTTGTCTAACTGACGTGAATTGTTGTGTGTTTGATTTTGAAGATATCAATGAATGTGAGACTGGTAACAACACGTGTAGAACAGCACAAGTATGTTTCAATTTCCAGGGAGGCTATACATGCTTGGATCCGCTAAAATGTGATCCACCGTACGTTGAACTCAGTGACAAGTGAGTGCACTCAATACTATTTCTCTCTAAGGACTGTGTTTCATATATGTCTAGTCAATACCTCTCATCTCTCATTATAATGATTATAACTTAAAAAATTGTATTACCACCTTTATGAAATCAGAAGTTTTTTAAGTGATACACTACTTGACCAAAAGTATGTGGACACCTGCTCGTCAAACATCTCATTCCAAAATCATGGGCATTAATATGGAGTTGGTCCCCCCTTTGCTGCTATAACAGCCTCCACTCTTCTGGGAAGGCATGACTGTACGTCGCTTTGGATAAAAGCGTCTGCTAAATGGCATATTATAATTTATTGTAAGGCTTTCCACTAGATGTTGGAACATGCTGTGGGGACTTGCTTCCATTCAGCCACAAGAGCATTAGTGAGGTCGGGCACTGATGTTGGGCGATTACGCCTGGCTCGCGGTCTGCGATCCAATTCATCCCAAAGGTGTTCGATGGGGTTGAGGTCAGGGCTCTGTGCAGGCCAATCAAGTTCTTCCACACCGATCTCAACAAACCATTTCTGTATGGACCTCGCTTTGTGCACGGGGGCATTCTCATGCTGAAACAGGAAAGGGCCTTCCCCAAACTGTTACCACAAATTTGGAAGCACAGAATCATCTAGAATGTCATTGTATGCTGTAGCATTAATGTTTCCCTTCACTGGAACTAAGAGGCCTAGCCCGAACCATGAAAAACAGCCCCAGACCATTGTTCCTCCTCCACCAAACTTTACAGTTGGCACTATGCATTCGGGCAGGTAGCGTTCTCCTGGCATCCGCCAAACCCAGATTTGTAAGTCGGACTGCCAGATGGTGAAGCGTGATTCATCACTCAGGAGAGCGCGTTTCCACTGCTCCAGAGTCCAATGGCAGCAAGCTTTACACCACTCCAGCCAACGCTTGGCATTGCCCATGGTGATCTTTTGGCTTGTGTGCGGCTGCCATGGAAACCCATTTCATGAAGCTGCCAACGAACAGTTCTTGTGCTGACATTGCTTCAAGAGGCAATTTGGAACTCGGTAGTGAGTGTTGCAACCGAGGACAGAAGATATGACTGTGTGCTCGATTTTATACACCTGTCAGCAACGGGTGTGGGCTGAAATAGCAGAATTCACTCATTTGAAGGGGTGTCCACATACTTTTGTATATATATCGTGTGTGTCTGTCAGTAACCAGGTTTCCGTCCCACCTTTTTAATGCGAGTAAAGTCCAGTGGATAAAAAATGTCACGACAGGCTTGATGGAAACAGCTAATTTGTCGGTGAACTTTTCCAAATGTCGACAAATAAAAATACACTACAAAAAGGTGGGATCTTTTTGTGTCCGCAAAATTAGTTATGTGAGAAATGGTGGTGGAAACGCCTTTTTATGTGCAAATATTGACATAATTACTATCATATCGAAGTAAAGTTGGAGTCACGTGATGACATGTTGTGTGGTCCTCCCACTACGACTCGGGAAAGCATGCAGTTCATTAGCCTACAGATTAAATACATTTTGATGAACTTCACAGGGTGGTGAAAGTACACGGTGATGAGTTTGATGCTCCTTTCCCAATACATATCGAGGGTCTTATTCTGGTGACATGATGATCGATGTTTGGCTGGCGTTTGACAAATAAAAAATAATCTAGCTCTTTTGTCCATTATAATCTCATCATGTAGGCTATACCCACACACGGGCCAAGAACATTCGCTATATACCCCTTTTTTTTGTGTAAAATGTGATGGAAACCCATTTAACTTGTATTATTTATTCGGTATATGGGAATTTTAACCACATACGTTTTTTTTTATGCACACTGCGTCATCATGCACATCCTTTTATCCGCAACAATTACATTTGATGGTGGGAAAACGCTAATAGTTTTGCAGATGTTTTTATTATTCGGATGGAAATCTGTCGCCAATTGGATGGAAACCTAGTTAGTGATCATGAGTTATACGTAATACTTCTGATGTTTAGGTGTATATACAGTATCAGTCAAAAGTTTGGACACACCGACTCAATCCAGGGTTTTTCTTTATTTTTTACTATTTTCTACATTGTAGAATAATAGTGAAGACATCAAAACTATGAAATAACACAGTGAATCATGTAGTAACCCAAAAAAAGTGTTAAACAAATCAAAATATATTTTATATTTGAGATTCTTCAAAGTAGCTGATGACAGCTTTGCACACTCTTGGCATTCTCTCAACCAGCTTCATGAGGTAGTCACCTGGAACGCATTTCAATTAACAGGTGTGCCTTCTTAAAAGTTAATTTGTGGAATTTCTTTCCTTCTTAATGTGTTTGAGCCAATCAGTTGCGTAGTGACAAGGTAGGGGTGGTATACAGAAGATAGCCTTATTTGGTAAAAGAAACGACAGTCCATCATTACTTTAAGACATGAAGGTCAGTCAATCCGGAAAATGTCTTCTTCAAGAGCAGTCGCAAAAACCTTCAAGCGCTATGATGAAACTGGCTCTCATGAAGACCGCCACAGGACAGGAAGACCCAGAGTTACCTCTGCTGCAGAGGATAAGTTCATTACAGTTACCAGCCTCAGAAATCGGCAATTAACTGCACCTCAGATTGCAGCCCAAATAAATGCTTCACAGAGTTCAAGTAACAGACACATCTCAATATCAACTGTTCAGAGGAGACGGCGTGAATCAGGCCTTCATGGTCGAATTGCTGCAAAGAAACCACTACTAAAGTACACCAATAAGAAGAAGAGACTTGCTTGGGCCAAGAAACACGAGCAATGGACATAGACCGGTGGAAATCTGTCCTTTGGTCTGATGAGTCCAAATCTGAGATTTTTGGTTCCAACCACTGTGTCTTTGTGAGTAGGTGAATGGATGATCTCCGCATGTGTGGTTCCCACCGTGAAGCATGGAGGAGGAGGTGTGATGCTGCTTTGCTGGTGACACTGTCTGTGATTTATTTAGAATTCAAGGCACACTTAACCAGCATGGCTACCACAGCATTCTGCAGCGATACGCCATCCCATCTGGTCTGCACTTAGTGGGACTATCATTTGTTTTTCAACAGGACAGGGCTATTTAACCAAGAAGAAGAGTGATGGAGTGCTGCGTCAGATGACCTGGCCTCCACAATCACCCGACCTCAACCCAATTGAGATGCTTTGGGATGAGTTGGATCGCAGAGTGAAGATAAAGCAGCCAACAAGTGCTCAGAATATGTGGGAACTCCTTCAAGACTGTTGGAAAAGCATTCCAGGTGACTACCTCATGAAGCTGGTTGAAAGAATGCCAAGAGTGTGCAAAGCTGTCATCAATACAAAGGGTGGCTACTTTGAAGAATCTAAAATATAACACACAGTGGTTTGCGAATGTATTCACCCCCCTTGGACATTTTTCCTATTTTGTTGCCTTACAACCTGGAATTAAAATGGATTTTTGGGGGGTTTGTATCATTTGATTTACACAACATGCCTACCACTTTGAAGATGAAAAATATGTTTTATTGTGAAACAAACAAGAAATAAGACAAAAAAACAGAACTTGAGCGTGCATAACTATTCACCCCCCCAAAGTCAATACTTTGTAGAGCAACCTTTTGCAGCAATTACAGCTGCAGGTCTCTTGGGGTATGTCTCTATAAGCTTGGCACATCTAGCCACTGGGATTTCTGCCCATTCTTCAAAGCAAAACTGCTCCAGCTCCTTCAAGTTGGATAGGTTCCGATGGTGTACAGCAATCTATAAGTCATACCACAGATTCTCAATTGGATTGAGGTCTGGGCTTTGACTAGGCCATTCCAAGACATTTAAATGTTTCCCCTTAAACCACTCAAGTGTTGCTTTAGCAGTATGCTTAGGGTCATTGTCCTGCTGGAAGGTGAACCTCTGTCCCAGTCTCAAATCTCTGGAAGACTGAAACAGGTTTCCCTCAAGACTTTCCCTGTATTTAGCACCATCCATCATTCCTTCAATTCTGACCAGTTTTCCAGTCCCTGCCAATGAAAAACATCCCCACAGCATGATGCTGCCACCACCATGCTTTACTGTGGGGATGGTGTTCTCGGGGTGATGAGAGGTGTTGGGTTTGCGCCAGACATAGCGTTTTCCTTGATGGCCAAAAAGCTCAATTTTAGTCTCATCTGACCAGAGTACCTTCTTCCATATGTTTGGGGAGTCTCCCACATGCCTTTTGGCGAACACCAAACGTGTTTGCTTATTTATTTCTTTAAGCAGAGTGTACGGCTTAAAGTGGTCCTATGGGCAAATACTCCAATCTCCACTGTGGAGCTTTGCAGCTATTTCAGGGTTATCTTTGGTCTCTTTGTTGCCTCTCTGATTAATGCCCTTCTTGCCTGGTCCATGAGTTTTGGTGTGCGGCCCTCTCTTGGTAGGTTTGTTGTGGTGCCATATTCTTTCCATGTTTTAATAATGGATTTAATAGTGCTCTGAGGGATGTTCAAAGTTGCGGATATTTTTTTATAACCCAACCCTGATCTGTACTTCTCCACAACTTTGTCCCTGACCTGTTTGGAGAGTTCCTTGGTCTTCATGGTGCCGCTTGCTTGGTGGTGCCCCTTGCTTAGTGGTGTTGCAGACTCTGGGGCCTTTCAGAACAGGTGTATATATACTGAGATCATGTGACACTTAGATTGCACACAGTTGGACTTTATTTAACTAATTATGTGACTTCTGAAGGTAATGGGTTGCACCAGATCTTATTTAGGGGCTTCATAGCAAAGGGGGTGAATACATATGCATGCACCACTTTTCCGTTATTTATTTTTTAGAATTTTTTGAAACTAGTCAGTTTTTTTCATTTCACTTCACCAATTTGGACTATTTTGTGTATGTCCATTACATGAAATCCAAATAAAAATCAATTTAAATTACAGGTTGTAATGCAACAAAATAGGAAAAACGCCAAGGGGGATGAATAATTTTGCAAGGCACTGTATATTTTGATTTGTTTAACACTTTTTTGGTTACTACATGATTCCATATGTGTAATTTCATAATGTTGATGCCTTCACTATTATTCTACAATGTAGAAAATAGTAAAAATAAAGAAAAAACTTTGAATGAGTAGGTGTGTCCAAACTTTTGACTGGTACTGTATATAAAACACAGGCAAATCTAATAAATTAATATTTTAATGTTTTCATTTTAGGTGATCTTAAAAGTACCTACTATACTGTCATATATTAACCTTAAAATAACCAAGCTTCAAAGATTTTTTTTCTCACCAGTCAGTGTATGTGTAGTGCTGAGAACCCAGCCTGTAGAGACAGGCCCTTCACCATCCTGTACCGCCACATGGACCTGTCCTCAGGCCCGCGGTGTTCCCCCAGCAGACATATTCCAGATGCAGGCCACCACAGCGATCCCCCGGAGCTTTTTCTATATCTTCCAGATTCAAAGGGACCGGGCAACGACTGGGACGAGAGTTTCTACATGGAGGGGTGAGAGAGGGAGGGAGGGAGGGAGGAGAGTTTAAATGAGGGTGAGGAGGGGAGGGAGGAGAGGGAGGGAGGGAGGAGAGTTATACATGAGGGTGAGGGAGGGGGGAGGAGAGTTCTACATGAGAGGGAGGGAGGAGGATTCTAATGGGTGAGGGAAGATGGAGAGGGAGTTCTATTTCAGAGGGTTGAGGAGGAGGGAGGAGAGTTCTACATGAGAGGAGCAGAAGGGATGAGGAGGTTCTAATAGGGAGGGAGGGAGGGAGGGAGGGGGGAGGGAGAATTTCACTTAGGGTGGGAGGTGGGAAGACTTTTTGATGAGAGGGAGGGAGGAGGAGATTCTACATTAGGGTGGCGGAGGGAGGGAGAGTTCTACATGAGGGTGAGGGAGGGAAAGGAGAGGGTAGGGGTCTAACATTTTGAGGTGAGGAGAGGAGAGAGTTCTACATAAGTAAGTAGAGAGGGGAGAGTTTACATGAGGGAGGAGGGAAGGAGCAGTTCTACATGAGGGTGAGGGAGGGAGGGAGGAGTTGTTTCTACATGAGGAGGGAGGCAGGGGGGAGGACCTGACATTAGGGTGAGGGAGGGAGGGAGGAGAGTTCTACATGAGGGTGAGCGGAGGGAGGGAGGAGAGTCTCAGGGTGGGGGGCGAGGAGGAGATTCTCAATTAGGGGGCACGAGGATGCACGGAGTTTCTACATGAGGGTGAGGGAGGGAGGGAGGAGAGATCTACATGAGGGAGGGAGGGAGGAGAGTTAACATTAGGGGAGGGAGGGAGGGAGGAGAGTTCTACATGGGGTGAGGAGGGGGGAGGAGAGTTCTACATGAGGGGGAGGAGGGAGGGAGGAGAGTTCTACATGAGGGTGAGGGAGGGAGGGGAGGAGAGATCTACATAGGGAGGGAGGGGAGGGAGGGAGGGAGGAGAGTTCTACATTAGGGTGAGGGAGGGAGGGAGGAGAGTTCTACATGAGGTGAGGGAGGGAGGGGAGGAGGGTGAAGGGAGGGAGGGAGGAGGTAATAGAGAGAGGGTAGGGAGGGAGGGAGGAGGAGAGTTCTACATGAGGGAGGAGGGAGGGAGGTAATGAGGGTTGAGGGAGGGAGGGAGGGGGGGAAGGGGGGGTTTTGAGGGAGGGAGGGAGGAGAGTTCTACATGAGGGGAGGGAGGGAGGGAGGGAGTTCAGAGGGTGCATTGGGGAGGGAGGGAGGGGAGGGGTAGGGGGGAGGGAGGGAGGAGGTTTATAGGGGGAGGGAGGGAGGGGGAGGAGAGGTTCTACATGAGGGAGGGAGGGAGGGAGGGAGGGAGAGTTTACATTAGGGTGAGGGAGGGAGGGAGGAGGAGGGGAGAGGTTCTACAGGGGGAGGAGGGGGGAGGAGAGTTTACATGAGGGGTGAGGGAGGGAGGAGGGAGGGAGGAGGGAGTTAATTAGGGTGAGGGAGAGGGAGGAGAGTTCTCATGAGGGAGGGAGGGAGGAGAGTTTTACATTAGGGTGAGGGAGGGAGGGAGGGAGTTCTACATGAGGGTGAGGGAGGGGGGAGGGAGGAGGAGGTTCATGAGGGTAGGGGGGGGAGGAGAGTTCTACATGAGGGGGTGAGAGAGGGAGGGAAGGAGAGTAGAGAGGGAGGGAGGGAGGGAGGAGGGAGGAGAGTTTACAAGAGGGTGAGGGGGGAGGGAGAGTTCTACATGGGGGGGAGGGAGGGAGGGGGGGAGGGAGGAGAGTTCTACATAGGGTGAGGGAGGGAGGGGGAGGTTCTACATGAGGGTGAGGGAGGGAGGGAGGAGGAGTTCTACATGAGGGTGGAGGGAGGGAGGGAGGAGAGATCTACATGAGGGAGGGAGGAAGGGGAGGAGAGGGTAAGGGTGAGGAGGCGGGGAGGGAGGGAGGGAGGAGGAGGTACATGAGGGTAGAGAGAGGGAGGGGGGGTTCTACATGGGGTGAGGGAGAGGGAGGGGGAGGAGGAGTTCTACATGAGGGTGGGAGGGAGGGAGGGAGTTCTAATGAGGAGGTAAGAGGGAGGGAGGGTATTAGGGGAGGGAGGAGGGAGGAAGTTCTACATGAGGGTGAGGGAGGGGGGAGGGAGGGAGGGAGGGAGGGAGGGAGGGAGGGAGGGAGGGAGGCTATTAGAGTAGAGGAGGGAGGAGGAGAGTTCTACATGAGGGGAGGGGAGGGGAGGGGGGGAGGAGATTCTACATGAGGGTGAGGGAGGGAGGGAGGGAGTAGGTAAGAGGGGAGAGGAGAGGGAGGGAGGGGTAAGAGGGAGGGAGGGAGGGGGAGGAGAGTTCTACATGAGGGTGAGGGAGGGAGGGAGGAGAGTTCTACATGAGGGTGAGAGAGGGAGGGAGTGGAGTTCTACATGAGGGTGAGGAGGGAGGGAGGAGAGTCTACATGAGGGTGAGGGGAGGGAGGGAGGGGAGAGTTACATGGGGGAGGGAGGAGGGAGGAGGGAGGAGGGTAGTTAGGGGTGAGGGAGGGAGGGGGAGGAGTAGAGGGTTGAGGGAGGGAGGGAGGAGAGTTCTCATGAGGGGAGGAGGGAGGGAGGAGAGTTCTACATGAGGGAGGGGAGGGAGGGAGGAGAGTTTACATAGGGGGGGAGGGAGGGAGAGGTGGAGAGGAGGGAGGGGGAGAGTTTACATGAGGGAGGGAGGGAGGGAGGGAGGAGAGTTCTACATGAGGGGAGGGAGGGAGGGAGGAGAGTTCTACATGAGGGTGAGGGAGGGAGGGAGGGAGGGAGGGACGAGAGTCTATATGAGGGAGGAGAGAGGGATGAGGGAGGGGGAGGTACATGAGGGAGGAGAGGAGGAGAGTTTAGAGGGGAGGGAGGGAGGGAGGGAGGAAGTTCTACATGAGGGGAGGGAGGGAGGGAGGGAGGGAGAGAGTTTTAATGGGGAGGGAGGGAGGGAGGAGGTTCTACATAGGGTGAGGAGGGAGGGAGGGAGAGAGGGTTAATGAGGGGAGAGGAGGGAGGAGAGTAATCAGAGCGAGGGGAGTAAGAGATGAAGAGGAGGAGGGAGGGAAGGAAGGAGTTCTACATGATGGTGGTAGTAGAGTAGTGGCCTGAGGACACACACTTAAAGTGTTGTGAAATCTGTTGTGAAATGTGATGTAATGTTTTTGCATAACTGCCTTAATTTTGCTGGACCCCAGGAAGAGTAGCTGCTGCCTTGGCAGGAACTAATGGGGATCCATAATAAACCCCAGGAAGAGTAGCTGTTGCCTTGGCAGGAACTAATGGGGATCCAAAATAAACCCCAGGAAGAGTAGCTGCTGCCTTGGCAGGAACTAATGGGGATCCATAATAAACCCCAGGAAGAGTAGCTGCTGCCTTGGCAGGAACTAATGGGGATCCAAAATAAACCCCAGGAAGAGTAGCTGCTGCCTTGGCAGGAACTAAATGGGGATCCATAATAAACACCAGGAAGAGTAGCTGCTGCCTTGGCAGGAACTAATGGGGATCCATAATAAACCCCAGGGAGAGTAGCTGCTGCCTTGGCAGGAACTAATGGGGATCCATAATAAACCCCAGGAAGAGTAGCTGCTGCCTTGGCAGGAACTAATGGGGATCCATAATAAACCCCAGGAAGAGTAGCTGCTGCCTTGGCAGGAACTAATGGGGATCCAAAATAAACCCCAGGAAGAGTAGCTGCTGCCTTGGCAGGAAAACTAATGGGGATCCATAATAAACCCCAGGAAGAGTACCTGCTGCCTTGGCAGGAACTAATGGGGATCCAATAATAAACCCCAGGAAGAGTAGCTGCTGCCTTGGCAGGAACTAATGGGGATCCATAATAAACACCAGGAAGAGTAGCTGCTGCCTTGGCAGGAACTAATGGGGATCCAAATAACCCCAGGAAGAGTAGCTGCTGCCTTGGCAGGGAAACTAATGGGGATCCATAAAAACCCCAGGAAGAGTAGCTGCTGCCTTGGCAGGAACTAATGGGGATCCAAAATAAACCCCAGGAAGAGTAAGCTGCTGCTGCCCTTGGCAGGAACTAATGGGGATCCAAAATAAACCCCAGGAAGAGTAGCTGCTGCCTTGGCAGGAACTAATGGGGATCCATAATAAACCCCAGGAAGAGTACCTGCTGCCTTGGCAGGAACTAATGGGGATCCATAATAAACCCCAGGAAGAGTAGCTGCTGCCTTGGCAGGAACTAATGGGGATCCAAAATAAATACTAATACAAATCAGGCCTGAGGACAACAATAAACAGATAATGATGTAACTCTGTTTGCAGTGTGTAGTTCGCGATAGAATGGCGCCACCTGTTGGATAAGTCGGAGAATGATTAAGATGCTCTCAGGAGTTTCATCATTCGTTATCAGCCTTTTTAAACTAATACCAGCAGGATACTTACAGACTATTTTGGGGGGGATATACAGAACAGAACACAAAGTAATCTGCAACACTGTTGGACATAACTGTTACCTTGTCACAACACAACTGATTGGCTCAAATGCATTAAGAAGGAAATAAATTCCACAAATTAACTTTTACACAAGGCACACCTGTTAATTGAAATGCATTCCAGGTGACTACCTCATGAAGCTGGTTGAGAGAATGCCAAGAGTGTGCAACCCTGTCATCAAGGCAAAGGGTGGCTATTTGAAGAACCTCAAATCTCAAATATATTTTGATTTGTTTAACACTTTTTTGGTTACTACATGATTCCATATGTGTTATTTCATAGTTTATGTCTTCACTATTATTCTACAACGTAGAAAATATTAAAAGTAAAGAAAAACCCTTGAATGAGTAGGTGTTCTAAAACTTTTGACCAGTAGTGTATATACCATTTTTGCAAATGTATGAAATATATAAAACTTAAATATTACATTTACATAAGTATTCAGACCCTTTTACTCAGTACATTGTTGAAGCACCTTTGGCAGAGATTACAGCCTTGAGTCTTCTTGGGTATGACGCTACAAGCTTGGCACACCTGTATTTGTGGAGTTTCTCCCATTCTTCTCTGCAGATCCTCTCAAGCTCTGTCGGGTTGGATGGGGAG